GGCCAACTACTAGTAGAAATAAGGTATCAATGTACTAAATATGCAACAACTGAAGAATAATTTAAAGGTATAGAGTGCTATGGAGATTTTTGATAACACATTATTATATTAGCCCATTCCTTTATTTCTAAAATAGACATTTTTGAAAGTGCTTTGGTTCTTAAAATGATATGTAAGTTTTCACCATATAAAGTTTATATGGACTTTAAGGATCTAAAAGCCTTCGGTTAGACTACCTGTAGCTTAACATCTTCTCTAAAAGAGAAGCTCAACTAAAAGGAAGTAACTTTTTTTGCTGTTTAATTTATTTTTTTAATTTACATCCAAGTTAGTTGGTATATAATGCAACGATTTCAGGAGCAGATTCCTTAATGCCCCTTACCCATCTAGCCCATCCCCTCCTCCCACAACCCCTCCAGCAACCCTCTGTTCTCCATATTTAAGAGTCTCTTATGTTTTGTCCCCCTTCCTGTTTTTATATTAGTTTTGCTTCCCTTCCCTTATGTTCATCTGTTTCCTATCTTAAACTCCTCATATGAGTGAAGTCATATGACATTTGTCTTTCTCTGACCAATTTCACTTAGCATAATACCCTCCAGTTCCATCCATGTAGTTGCAAATGGCAAGACTTCATTCTTTTTGATTGCTGAGTAATTAAAAAGAAGGTATATATGTATATACTACATCTTCTTTATCCATTCATCCACCAATGGACATTTGGGCTCTTTTAATACTTTGGCTAATGTTGATAGTGCTGCTATAAACACTGGGGTGCATGTGTCCCTCTGAAATAGTATACCTGTATCCTTTGGATAAATACCTAGTAGTGCAATTGCTGGGTCATAGGGTAGTTCTATTTTTAATTTTTCAAGGAACCTCCATACTGTTTTCCAGAGTGGCTGCACCAGTTTGCATTCCCACCGGCTGTGCAAAAGAGATCCTCTTTCTCTGCATCCTCACCAACATCTGTTGTTGCCTGAGTTGTTAATGTTAGCCATTCTGACAGGTGTGAGGTGGTATCTCATTGTGGTTTTGATTTGTATTTCCCTGATGATGAGTAATGTTGAGCATTTGTTCGTGTGTTGGTTGGCCATCTGGATGTCTTCTTTGGAGAAGTGTCTATTCATGTCTTTTGCCCATTTCTTCACTGGATTGTTTTTTGGGTGTTGAGTTTGATAAGTTCTTTATAGATTTTGGATACTAACCGTTTATCTGATATATCATTTGCAAATATCTACTCCCATTCCATCGGTTGCCTTTTTAATTTTGTTGATTGTTTCCTTCACTGTGCAGAAGCTTTTTATTTTGAAGAGGTCCCAATAGTTCATTTTTGCTTTTGTTTCCCTTGCCTCCAGAGACGTATTGAGTAAAAAGTTGCCTGTGCCAAGTTCAAAGAGGTTTTTGCCTGCTTTCTCCTTGAGGATTTTGATGGCTTCCTGTCTTACATTTAGGTCTTTCATCCATTTTGAGTTTATTTTTGTGTACGTGTAAGAAAGTGGTCCAGGTTCATTTTTCTGCATGTCGCTATCCAGTCTTCTCAGCACCACTTGAAGAGACTGTCTTCCACTGAATATTCTTTCCTGCTTTGTCAAAGATAAGCTGGCCATACGTTTGTGGGTCCATTTCTGGGTTCTCTATTCTGTTCCATTGATCTCAGTGTCTGCTTTTGTGCCAAGAAGTAACTTTTCTAAGGTGAATGAGGAATCAGCTATGAAAAATTTCAGTCATAAGCAAAGACTTACATTGACTTTATGTTTAGAATTTCAAATTTCTTATCCATTTTATCCTTAAAAAATTATTTTAAAACGTTTATTTTTGAGAGAGAGAGAGAGAGAGAGAGAGCGTGAACAGGGGAGACAGGGGAGGAGGAGAGAGAGAGAGAGAGAGAGAGAGGGAGACAAAATCCGAAGCAGGTTCCAGGCTCTGAGCTGTCAGCACAGAACCTGATGCAGGTCTCAAACCCACAAGCCATGAGATCATGACCTGAGCCAAAGTCAAATGCTTAACCAACTGAGCCACCCAGACACCCCTCCATTTTCTCCTTTAACAAAGAGTTGAGTGTGTTTAAGAGATGCCTCTCCATTTTCTCCTTTAACAAGGAGTTGAGCTGCTTTACAAAGGCAAGTTGAGTGTATTTCCTGTTGGCATTTTCACCAACATATTATATGACAACTGTCCAAAATGATTTATCTACTTTAGCTTCATGTTCCATTCCATATCCTGCTCTTTAATAACTTTAAACTTAAGTCAACTAATTGCTCCAACAATGTAAGTCAGACAAATTTTATGAATGGACAAGAAAAGTAAACTTGGATCTAGAGATGATTATTACTGGATCACCAACAGATTTTGAGTTTTACATACTGGAAAAGCCTCTGATTTTACCTTCCCACAGGTATGTGTCTGCTTTCATTTGGCCCCAAAATGCAAGCAGTTATCTGTATAATTCCCCTAGTGCCCCATCAATGTAATCTTACTGTTGCAAATTTGTTAAACCCTTTTCTTTTCTTTTATACTATAACCAACACAAAAAATGGCTTCCTGAGTGACATTAACTCTAAGCTCTGGTTCAGTGCCAAATGGAGTTAGCTTACCTGCCAATTATGTCTTGAAGTAGCAACTACAAGGGGCATTGAAATAAGGTAGTATAAAAACCCAATCAGCCAGAGAGAAGGGCACCAGCAGGAAAGGGCAGGTAAATCTCTTTCCTCAAGTTAAATTGACCCGGTTGTCACGTCTGCTAATCAATCCTAAATACACAGTTCCCAGGCAGGAAACCATTTCATTTGTCATTTATCGAAGGAGGCTCTCCTTGGCTGGGTTCCAAGTCAACAGGAACTCACAAATCTCTCTCCCGGAACTGCATTTCCTGGTTTAGGCTGGTTCTGAATACAATCAGATCCTGTGGCTAAGTAATCAGTAAGCTAAACAGTCATGGAAACCAGAGGCTTATCAAAGCAAAGTTGGGATGATCTACTCTTAGCTCTTTATTCTTTTCCAAATGAGTCAATAATATCTGATATGATAGTAATCCAGGGCGAAGGGCATGGTACTTTCTCCCAAAAGGTTCATAAAGAGTAGAAACCAGTTACTTAGAAATATTCGTGTAAGTTAGAGCTTAATTTAAGGTGAGTTTGGGAAGACTGCTTGGAGTTAGAGAAGTATAAAGATATAGAAGAACATATTAGGATAGAAAAGTGGCATCAACAAGTATATAGAAGAGGAAATGTGAATGTTAAGTCTTCTGGCTGAAGCAAACATGTATGTAAGAAAGACAGAAGATATGACATTAAATTTCTAGCTATAAAACCTGAAAGGGAAAACTCAGGATTCAGGACAAAGAGCCTGCTTAGGATTCTCTCTCTTCCTCACTCTCTCTGTCTCTCTCTGTCTGCCTCCTACCCCATGCATGTGCCTGCCCTCTCTTTCTCAAAGTAAATAAATAAACTTAAAACTATATACACAAACATATATGTACTTTTGGTTATGATGATTTAGTGGACCATTCTACACTTTGCAAATGATAAAAGTATGTGTCAGCAACTTTTTGGAGGCTTTATTCTACATCTTCATTAATTCATGCCCTCTTCAATTCCACAGGACGGAGGCTGCCTACACTCCCTTGTCTCTTGTTTCTTGTGGCATGAAGTAACCATACTAAGCTGATGAACAGAGACGTGGTTGAATACGACCACAAACAGGCAAGAAAATGGATGGTTGGGAGGAAGAGTGGGGTAGGTTTCCTCTATTCATGAATGCTTCCTCTCATATTTCAGATCTAGGCAAGTCTTACAGGGAAGGAAAGTAGACAGTCTTACACCTCCAAACATCAACCTAGCTGCTGGTCTTTCCATCACTTTACTGAATTTGGTCCTCGGGGCTTTTCCATTGCAAACAAGTCCCTTATAAAAATGCAAATACCTCCCCAGAAAGGAGTTATGGCTTCAGTATTAGTTACCACCTCAATATATAATGATTAAAACTAGCTTCAGTAATTTTAAAAAACATTAGAATATATTTCTCCCCGCAAAAGATTCTATAGTCAAATATGCTTGAGAAACAGCATAGTGTAGCTCCCTCTTGTAGATTCACAGTGCACATTAGCATTGAAAAAGCACTTAAGTCCAGTGGTAAAATTTTTAAAAAAGTATTTTCAAACGTCTTTAACTACCAAACCCTATTTCCCCTACAGAACACATATTAATATATTTTAAGATGTGAGTATTTTTTATTGTTTTATTTTTATTTTTAAATTTTTTAAATTTTAAGTTTTTATTTTTAAAGTTTTGAGAGAGAGAGACAGTGAGCATGCAAGTGGGGAAGGGACAGAGAGAGAGAGAGAGAGAGAGAGAGAGAGAGAGAGAGAGAATCCCAAGCAGACTGTGCACTGTCACTCCAGAGCCTGATGCAGGGCTCAATCCCACAAAACTGTGAGATCATAACCTGAGCTGAAATCAAGATTTGGACACTTAACAGACTGAGCCATCCAGGTGCCCCTAGTTAAGAGTATTTTTTTTAGAACACAGTTTGAAAAACACAAAATTAAAACAAATCGATTAATAATAAGGCACCAAAGATACGTTTAGGGCAGAGTGCATTAGGAAGGATGACAGGAGGTGGGAAAGCAAAGACAGGTCTTTTCTACCTCATAATTTTGTTCAAAAACATCATGCCATTTGTTGCAGGTTCCTGGTTTAAAAGACAGACCCTAAAGTAAAGATGTATGGTCCATTCTATAATTATTTGTCCTTTTCTGAACAATATCAACCTCAAGCCCATTCCTAGAACACAAAGAGCTCTCTGTACCACCCATTTGCAAAATGGCCATGTGACCAAAAGGAGCTGAACGAAGCAGAAAGCTAAACATACCTCAGGATTTTTAAGTTTCTTCCCACTACATAGAGCAGTTAAGAGTCAGAAATTAAAGGACCTGGTGAATGGCAGACCATGTTTATAAATGATCATCTTTGTGCCATGTGATCAAATGCAACTTAACTTACCAGCTCTGCAATTCAGCAAAAGCTTGTTTCATTTTCTTAATGGAAGCATCCATCTCTTCTTTAACTACAACTCGATACCGTGCAAGAGACACTGTACAGCGCTGGAGGTCTTTCACAGATTTTTCAATATTGGAACCTTGGGAAGAAAACCCAAGGATTAATATAAAAAAAGGAGCACAAGTAACCTGAAAGTTAGATATGAACACCTAAGCATGTAAAGTAACAGATGTCATGTGGACTAAAAATGTTTCCTTAATGGCTACCCTCCTCACCAAAAAATTGATGTTTTCATAGATTTTTGTTTTTAACTAAGTATCCTGGCTAAGATGGAGTACTAGGAGTTGGATTTACCCTCCTGTCTTACACAACTAAACACACACACAAAACATATGAAAACTGGTTTTCAGACAATAGACGATAGACAGTACTTTTTCCCTGAGAAAAGACACAAACGAAGTGAGGCCTACAATTGCCTCAACTTACTGCCATGAAAGAGTTTCCAGGCTGCAGTGCAAGGAGAAATCCTAATCCTGAATTGAGAGGACAGAGCTAAGAACTTGGGGAGGCCAAGGTGGTTAGAATTCTAAGGGCAGAATACTAGAGAGGAAAGAGCTACACAAAGATGAGAAAATTGTACAGAGATCTGCAGGGGATTCTGAATGCATCGGTGTGAGGAAACTACCTGAGACAGGAAAAAGAACCACTGGAAAGGAATACGCAGAACAAGCCTCAGACCTCACCCAGCCCACAAATAGTTCATGTTCACACCAGCCAGAATAGGGCACCAGGTAGAACACTTGGAAGGGTACTCCCTCAGTAATGAGGCAAAATTAGCTCTCAGGGCTACTCTAGTTCCACCTAACAAAGCTTAAAAACAAGCCTTAAACTGTTACTAAATAGTCCCAGAACAAATCATAACAGTACTTAAATAAAACACAAAAACTATCTAGCAATCGACAAAGCAAAATTCACAATGTCTGGCACCCAATAAAAAATTACTAGGCATACAAAGAGGCAGACAAACACGATCCATAATGAGAAATCAACTAACAGAAACAGATGCAGAAATGTCATAGATGTAGAGTCAAGTAAATAAAGACCTCAAAACAGCTGATACAATCAGATACCATAAGTTCAAGAAGGCAGAGAAAAGCATAAACATGTTAAGGAGAGACACGGTCGATACTTTAAAAAACCCAGCTGAACCTCTAGAGGTGAAAAAAGACAATGTCTGAGATGACAATTTCACTGGATAGGATTAACAGCAGATTAGAAACTGTTAAAAAAAAAAGATTAATGAATTTGACAACAGCAACTTCAGAAACTATCCAAAATGAAGTAAAGTATTTGAATAGGTACCAGTGTTTCAAAACTCTCTAAATGACAGGGTTTGGACTATAATTCACCATGCAGGCATTACAAAATTAATAAAATTCTCTGTGTAGTAGTTCAAAACATTGTATGTGGATAAGCCAACTTTATAGGTAAAGATGAAATATATTTACCACCCAACATATTCTAATCAGTTTCCAAAAGTTCTACCAACCTTTCTATATTCACCAATGTCAAAGTTATATATACAATTTATAGGTGAAATCATAGATCTAAGAAGTTTAATGTGCCAAGATATAGATTTCCAATTTTTTATTTAAATTCTTCCTCATTGTAACTTGATTTCTTTCCAAATCTAAAAAGCTTTCAAGTCTTGTGCTTTTCTTTTTGCTTGACTGAGTATTTTTGATGTGCTTTCTGCACCAAGCTGAGGGTCATGTTAGATTTAAAAGGAAAGCTTCACTAATTAAATTTAGCTTATGTGGAATAAATAATTCAATAAAGAGCTACAGGTTACAAGTGTCTTTTACATTTCTGTTTCGTACATTTAGTGGAGTGGACCACGATGCTTTAGATGTATGACACTCAGAGGGGCTATCATCTCTACCTGTTTAATTACTGGCTGATTATTTAAATGATGAGTATAGTGAAAAAAAAAAAAGCAAATAACTACCACCAGTCGATACTGCACACTTAAGAGGAAACGATCTTGTTTAAAGCTACAGTCTGACAGATATTAGTAAGCGCATGAAGTTGTGAAGAGAAATGAAAAGATTTCTTTAAAATGTCATGTCAGAGTTGGCAGAGCTTTTTACTATTAAATCAACCAGGAGATAAAAATGAAGGAAACAGTACAAAAATGTTGTAGTAAAGCAAATAAAAGAAACAAGTTACTGTTAGTAGAAAAGTCGTTCTGGCCAGTAGAGTTTGACTTTCATTCACTAAAAGGATCCCTGTCATTGTAACAAGACTGTACAGCATCTAAAATACTATCAGACTCCAACTGTGTACAGGGAGTTAGGGAAGGGTAGTTGCTGCCTCAAAAACAGAAAAAGTATTACCTGCTAACCTCTGAGATCTTATCTGAGGAACAAGGAGAAAATTTGCCCTCTCTAGCTAAAAGCACATTTTTTTTTTTTGTTTTCTCTCAAAGGTAGCCTTCTGATTTACCTAGCTTTTTGTTGGTGGAAGAGAGTGGAAAATCTTCCATCCCCAGATTTGAAAACTGAGGTGCTGTGGTAGGTCTTGAGAGAGATTTTGCAGCATTCCTATTTTGTTGAGAATTCTGAGTAGACTGCATAGTCAAAGACTTAGGCTCAAAATCAGAGATGCCGTTCTCCAGCATGGACCCTGTCAAAGAAAGGCCAGTATTTTAGAGTAAAAGTTAGGAGGAAATCAATCAAGCAGTCTTAAGTATAAACAAATAAAAAAGGTAAAAATGTTTCAGGTAAAACTACGCCTCTGAAAGGTTATGAACAAAAACAACTGACAAAATAGAACAAAGAGCAGAATCAGATGGACGAGACTATCAGGAGCATCTGGCTCAGCCCTAAACTTCATCCTGAATGAAAAGGATGAGTCTGTGTTAACCCATCTCAAGATAAGCTAGCTTGTTCCCTGTACCTTGGTAGCTCTGGGCACAAGGAAGCACTAATTTCTTATAGCTTCTGTAAGTTATATTGAGGAAAAAAGAGTTTTACACTGTTCCAGGGAAGGAAGAGTTTTATTATTAATCTATTTATTTATTAAGTTTTTTAAAAAAGTTATCTCTACACCCAACGTGGGGATCGAACTCACAATATTCAAATCAGGAGTTGCATGCTCCACCAATGGAGCCAGCCAGGTACCCCAAGAGTTTTAAAAGCTTTAGGGAAAGCACAAAGAGTTAGGATATCAAAGAAGAGCTAGCTCAGGGAAAAAAAAAAAAAAAAAAAAAAAAAAAAAAAAAAAAAAAAAAAAAAAAGGAAGCCACTGACTATCTTTGGTTTATTTGAGGTTATAGCGTAGGTGCTATATTTTTCTCTAAGTCTTTTTGTGTGTGCAAGCTAATCAATAAAAGAACATCTGAGAAGTACAGAACTTTTAAGTTGTCATTACATAATAACTCTAGCAGCAACAGAGCAAGTGGAAATGGATTAACAACCAAGTAATTAAAAAGCCAATTTTAAAAGACATATATTCCCAGTATCTTCCCAACATTCATCAAAATGGTTAATAAAACAAAAAATGTGCAAGATATTTGAATTGACAACATTAATCTTAATTCTTTACTAGAAAACAAATGTGGGACAATAAAAACCAACAGTCTACTTCTCATGAAAGCCATGGGATTACAGTTACTATTATATATTCCTCACTGTGTTGGACCCTAAAATAGTAACATCAACATCAATTCATCATCATCATTGTCCTTAATAATAAGCAATTTAAAAAGTCTTAAGGTCACCTTCTATAATCTCTAACTACTGAGGGATTATTATGTTAAAAGATTTCCACAAGACTGACTTAAACTAAAATTAAAATATAAGACAATGGAATAACAACTATATTTTCTAGGCCTTTGGTAACTACAGTTGACCCTTGAACAATGTGGGGGTTAAGGGCACTGACCCCCTCCCTTGCAGTTGAAAATCTGTATATAACTTTGACTCTTCCAAAACTTAAGCCTACTGTTGATCAGAAGCTTTACCAATAACATACAGTCAATAAACATGTTTTGTATTTTATATGTATTATATCCAATATTCTTACAATAAAGTAAGCTAGAGAAAAGAAAATGTTATTAAGAAAACCATTGGGGAAAAAAAATCATTAGGAAGAGAAAATATATTTGCAGTACTGTATTATATTTTTTCGGGGAAAAAAATCCACAAATAAGTGGACCTGCATAGTCCACACTGCGTTGTTCAAGAATCAACTGTACAAAATTTGACTCTTTCATATAAAAGGCAACAAAAACTAAAAAATAAAAGACTAACTAAATTCAATTTATTGATTGCTTTTTCAACCAGGAAGTCCCTATATTTTTCAACAGAAAACAACTTTTCAAAGACCTGTTAATAAACTCACCTGTTCTATCCAGCACATCTGGTGTAGTAGACTCAGGATCTTCCAATTCTCTGGCATCTATTGAAAGTGTCTCCATACCTTCACTGAGTGAGTCCACAGACTCAGTATCATTGATGGCACCGTTGACATGGTAACCATTAATACCACCTTTCTCTGAAGAAGGCACAGTCTGTTCCTCTTGAATGGAAACCGATTTACTGGAATCTGGGATACTGTTACTTGCTTCTGCTGTAGGCTTTGGTTTGCTTTTCTTCTTTTTGTTCTAATGGTTATTCAAGATTTGAAAAAAAGAAAAGAAAAAGAAGACCCCACAACCCACAGAAGTAACTCTAGCTACCCAAAGGTAATCAATGTTATTAATTTCTCGTATGCCCTCCCCAAAATTGAACACAGTCTTGTATATTTTGAACTACTGGCTAAAATAAGTATGTAAAATACTTTGGATAAACTCAAACACATAAATATAAAAAATGTATGCATGGAAAAACCCACCAAATCAAAAGATAAATTACAAAATGTGAAATACGTCCAACTTATATACAAAAAGTTAAATTTATACAGAGCTCTAACAAAAAACAAACAAAACAACAGCCCAATAGAAAAAAATGGTGTAGGATACAAACACATGGAATGAAGTGCAACCTCAGTCTAATAAGAGACATAAATTAAAACTGCACTGCAGAGGATTCTGGGACAATGACAGAGGAGGAAGCACTAGTAATCTGTCTCACTAGACAATAATTACACTGGCAGAATCTGTGTAATGTAACTATTTTGGAACTCTGGAGTCTACTGAAGACTTAAAATTTGCAGGTGAAGACCTGGACAGTAAATCGTGGTTAATCTCAGTCAGTATCAGCTCCTCTCATAGAAGCAGTTACCTTAGGGTGCAGGCAGCTGTGCACCTGTTCTTGGAGCAGCTCGCACACATTGTGGGAGCCAGGGCAGACAAAAAGGACCCTGTCCTCCAAATTTTGGGGATCTGCACTCTGGTCCCTGCTGCTTTTTTTGATCACAGGAGTGTAGACAAAGACTCAGGCATCCATTGTTATTGCACCTTCTCCCATTGTTGTAAGCCCTGCCAGCTTTGGCTGAGTGACTTCCAGGGAAATAAAAAGAGCAGTGCCCCCAGAAAGCAAACAATAATAAAAAAATAGCAAATCCTGAGGAAGGGGCAGAATCTGATTTCCAAAGTTATCACATTATTAGATTCAAATGTCCAGTTTTTCAACATAAAATCACAACTACAAAAAACAAGTATGATTTACTTAAAGGGAAAAAATCAACAGTAACTGCCTTTGGTAACCAGAAGGGAGGTGGATAGGGGGATGGGTTAAGTAGGTGATGAAGATTAAAGAGTGCACTGGATGATATACGGAAGTGTTGAATCACTATATTGTACATCTGAAACTAATATTATGCTGTATGTTAACTGGAATTAAAAAAAAACAAAACAACTGTCTTAAAGATACTCAAAAAATTAAAAGAAGATCTGGACAAAGCCAAGAAAACAAAGTATGAACAAAATGTAAATGTCAATAAAGAGATAGAAAACCTAAAAGAAATTAGTTAAGAGGGGTGCCTAGGTGGCTCAGTTGGTTAAGTGTCCGACTTCGGCTCAGGTTATAACCTCAGGGTTTGTGAGTTAGAGCTGAGAGCCTGCAGCCTGCTTTAGATTCTGTGTTACCCTCTCTCTCTGAATGCCCCTCCCCCCACCGCCCTGTTTGCACTCTCTCTCAAAAAATACATTAAAAAAATCCATAAGGGGCGCCTGGGTGGCTCCATAGGTTGAGCATCCGACTTCAGCTCAGGTCATGATCTCGTGGTTCATGAGTTCAAGCTCCACATCGGGCTCTGTGCTGACAGCTTGGAGCCTGGAGCCTGCTTCAGATTCTGTGTCTCCCTCTCTTTCTGCCCTTCCCCTGCTCACACTGTCTCTGTTTCTCTCAAAAATAAATAAGTGTTCAAAACAAAAACAAACAAGTGATTTCACTTATAAAAAAAATTAAAAAATAAGAAATTAATTAGGAAATACTGGAGTTAAAAAATAGAATAACTGAAATTTTAAAATTCACTAGAAAGATTCAAAGGCAGATTTCAGCAGCAGAAGAAAAAAAATCTGTGAACTTGAAGATTGGAGAATGCAAATTGTAAAGTCTGAGGAAGAGGAAAGAAAAAAAAAATTGAAGAAAAGTGAACAGAATCTAAGGGACCTGTGGGACACCAAAAAGTAGACCAATATACACATCATGAAAGTCTGAAAAGAAGATAAAGGGACAGAAATAATATCTGATGATATCTGAAAAAGAAATACTGGCTGAAAACTTCCCAAATTTAATGAAAAACATGAATATAAACACCCAAGAAGCCTAATTAACTCTAAGTAAGATGAACTCAAGGAGACTCACACTGAGACACATTATAATCAAACTTTCAAAAGACAGAATCTCGAAAGCAGCAAGAGAGAAGTCACTCATCACATACAAGGAATCTTCAATAAAATCATCAGATTTCATCAGATTTCTCATCAGAAACATGAAGGTCAGAAGGCAGTACGTGGATATACTCAAAGCGCTGAAATAGAAAAGTATGGTCAACCAAGAATCCTATAACTGGCAAGACTATCCTTCAAAAGTGAAGGAGAGGGGTGCCTGGGTGCCTCAGTTGGTTAAGTGTCTCACTCTTGATTTTGGCTCTGGTCATGATCTCACAGTCTATGAGACTGAGCCCCGCATGTCAGACTTCGTGCTGGTCATGGAGCCTGCTTGAGATTCTCTGTCCCTCTCCCTTTAATCCTCCCTGCTCATGTACTTTCACTTCCTCTCAAAAAATTAAAAAAAAAATTTTTTTAAGTAAAGGAGAAATTAAGATATTCCTAGATAAATAAAAGCTGAGGAAGTTCATGACCACCAGATTTGCCCTGTAAGAAATGTTCAAAGGAGTCCTGCAACATAAAATGAAAGGACACTAGTCAGTAATTTTAAGCCATATGAAAAAATAAAAATCTCAGTAAAGGTAAGTACATGAGCAATTATAAAGGCCAGCATTATTATAATGGTTTGTAACTATATATTTGGTTTTCTGCATAATTTAAGAGACTAATAGGTTAAAAAAAAAACTATTAATCTAAAATCTACTTTGGTTTGTAACTCCAGATCTTATTTGTACATAATTTAAGAGACTAATGCATTTAAAATTTTTTTAATGTTTTATTTTTGAGAGAGAGAGAGAGAGATAGAACTCGAGAGGGGAAGGGCCAGAGAGAGAGGGAGACACAGAATCCGAAGCAGGCTCTAGGCTCCGAGCTGTCAGTACAGAGCCCAAGGCGTGGCTCGAACCCAGGAACTGTGAGATCATGACCTGAGCCAAAGTCAGACGCTCAACCGACTGAGCCACCCAGGCGCCCCATGAGACTAATGCATTTAAAAGAATTATTAGTTTGGGGCACCTGGGAGACTCAGTTGGTTAAGCATCAGACTTCAACTCAGGTCATGATTTTGAGGTTCATGAGTTCAAACCCTGCATCCGGCTCACAGCAGTCAGTGCAGAGCCCACTTTGGATCCTCTGTCTCCCTCTCTTTCTGCCCCTCCCACACTATTACTCTCTCTGTCTCTCAAAAATAAACATTAAGAAAATAAAAATAATAAAAAATATATAAGTAAATAAAAATAAAAGAATTATTAGTTTATGCTTTGGGGAACACAATGTATTAAGATATAATTCTGTGACATCAACAACCAAAAGAAGTGGGGATGGAGCTGTAAAGGAACAGAGTTTTTGTATGTTATTGAATATAAACTGGTATAATTTCAAATTAGTGTTAAAACTTTAGGATATTAAATGTAATCTCCATAGTAACCACAATGAAAATAGCTATAAAATATACACAAAAGGAAATGAGAAAAGAACTCAAACATTTCAGTATAAATAACAGATTAAACTCAAAAGAAGACAGTAATGCAAAAAATGAGGGATAGAAAAAAAGTTAAAAACAAATGGAAAACAAATAGCACAATGACAGAAGTCCTTCCTTATCAGTAATTACTTTAAAGGTAAACTGATAAAACTCTACAATCAAAAGACAGAGATTGACAAAATGGATAAATACACATGATCCAACTATATGCTGTTTACAAGAGACTCACTTTAGATTCAAAGACACAAATAGACTGAAAGTGGAAGGATGGAAAAACGTATTCCATGCAAATAGTAACCAAAAGAGAGCTGGGGCTATTAATATAGCCTTTAGACTTTAAATAAAGCCTATAGACTTTAAATTAAAAAAGGTTATAAGAGACAAAGAAACACATTATGTATTAATAAAAGGCTTAATACAACAAGAAGATATAACAATTATGAACATGTGTACACCTAATGACAGACTATCAAAATACGTGAAGCAAAACCCAGCAGAATTAAAGGGAAAAACGGTTGTACAATAATACTTGGAAACTTCAATATCCTACTCACAACAATGGACAGAACAACCAGACAGAAGATAAGTAAAGAAACAGAGGATTTAAACAACGTGACAGGGGTGCCTGGGTGGCTTCAGTCGGTTAAGCGTCCGACATCGGCTCAGGTCACGATCTCGCGGTCTGTGGGTTCGAGCCCCACGTCGGGCTCTGTGCTGACAGCTCAGAGCCTGGAGCCTGTTTCAGATTCTATGTCTCCCTCTTCCTCTGACCCTCCCCTGTTCATGCTCTCTCTCTCTGTCTCAAAAATAAATAAATGTTAAAAAAAAAAATTAAAAAAAAAACCAACAACATGACAGACCAACTAGATCTAACAGACATAAACAGAACACTCTACCCAACAAGAGCAGCACAGCACGTATGCTCTTCTTGAATGTACATGGTACATTTTTCAGGATAGACCATACATAAGGATACAAATGAAGTTTCAACAGATATTTTAAAAAGATATGTATCATACAAAGTGTCTTCTCCGACCAAAATGGGATAAAGTGAGACATCAACAAAAGGAAAATTGGAAAATTCATATTATGGAAATTAGCACATTTTTAAAATTTATGTCTCTTTAAAAAATGTTTATTTTTAGAGAAAGAGAGAGAGAAAGGAGAGAAGGAGAGACAGAATGTGAATGGAGGAGGGACAGAGAAAAGGGAAAGAGAATTCCAAGCAGACTCCACAGTGTCAGCACAGAGCCTGATGAGGGGCTTGAACTCACAAACCATGAGATCATGACCTGAGCTGAAACCAAGAGTCGGATGCTTCACTGACTGAGACACCCAGGCGCCCCTGGAAATTAGCACATTTTTAAAGAACAAATGGATCAAAGAAGAAATAACAAGGGGAATTAGAAAATACTTAGAGATGAATGAAAATGAAAACATCACATACCAAAACTCAAAGAGTACAGCAAAAGTAATGCTAAAGGGGAAACTGCTAACTGTAAATGCTGACATTAGAAAGTATTTATATATATTATATATATATATCTTACATATAATCTCAAATTAGCAACTTAACTTTGCAGTTAAGGAACTAGAAAAGAACAAACTAAAACCCAAAGCTAGTAGAAGGAAGGAAATAATAAAGATCAGAGCAGAGATAAATGAAATAAAGAACAGAAAAGCAATAGAGAAAAATCAATGAAACCAAAGGCTGAATCTCTGAAAAGATCAACACAACTGACAAACCTTTAGTTAGAAAGGCTAAGAAAAAAAAAAGAGAGAAGACCCAAATTACTAAAATCAAAAATGAAAGTGGCGATATTACTATAGATTCTACAAAAATAAAAAGGATTACAAGAGAACACTTTGAATAACTGCATGCCAACAAAGAAACACAAAACCTACCAAAACTAAATCATGAAGAAATGTAGGAAATATGAACAGACCTATAACTAGTAAAGAGACTGAATCAGTCATCGAAAATCTCCCAACAGGGGCACCTGGTGGCTTAGTCAGTTAAGCATCCAACTTCAGCTTAGGTCATGATCTCATGGTTCACAAGTTCGAGCCCTGCACTGGGCTCTGCACTGACAGAGTGAGGCCTGCTTGGGATTCTCTCTCTCTGCTCCTCCCCCACTCACGCTTTCTCTCTCTCAAAATAAATAAACTTAAAAAAAAATCTCCCAACAAAGAAAAGCCCTGGATGCAATGGCTTCACTGGTGAATTCCACCAAACACAGAAGAACTAATAACAATTTTCAAAAATTTCCAAAAATTGATGTACTATAGTATCATTTTTCATTTTGGACTAGCAAAGGTCAAAAAGAGTTGACAGGGTTGAGAATATGGAGAAACAAACATTCTTCTATACTACTTTGTGGGAATGCAAAGTGGTACTCTCTATGGTCATCTGGTATGGTAGTATTTATCAAAATTACAAATGCACATATCCTTTGATCCAGCAATTCCACTTCTAGGAATTTATCCTAGGCGATACTGACACATGTACAAAATTATATATAAGGTTATTCACTGAAATACTGTTAATAGTAACAAAACATTGGCAATGACCCAAATGTTGATCAATAAAGGACTGGTTAAATAAATTATGGTGCATCCAAGCAGCAGAATGACTTTACATCCTTAAAAAGAACAAGACAATTCTTTATATGTTGACATGGAATACAATCTAAAATATATTACACGAAAAAAGAGCAGGCAAAGAGAAGAATATATATTCATGTTTGCTTATATATGCATAAAGTATCCCAGATAATACATAAGAAATTGGCAATACTGTTTACCTCTGGGGTGGGAAGCCAAATGGCTGGGGAATAGGGAAGGGATAAAGATGTTTCAGTGTATTATCTTTTATAGCTTTGAATTTTGAGCCACATGAATATATTACCTATGAAAATAGAAAAATTAAACAAAAACTCCTTTGCCTTTTACCTTGACAAACAACAGCTCTAGTAGCAATCTTAATTCTATTTGTAAGACTAGGGGCCCCTGGGTGGCTGAGTCAGTTGAGCGTCCGACTTCAGCTCGGGTCATGGTCTCACAGTCTGTGAGTTCGAGCCCCATGTTGGGCTCTGTGCTGACAGCTCAGAGCCTGGAGCCTGCTTCGGATCCTGTGCCTCCCTCTCTCTCTGCCCCTCCCCTGCTCATGCTCTGTCTCTCTCTGTCTCAGAAGTGAATAAAAACATTAAAAACAAAAACAAAAAACTAGACTGACATTACTGAATCAATTTTTCCCCAATCCCTTTTATCCCCCCAAACGTTTTCGATGGCCCTAACAGGAGCACTGAAGGTATTCTAGATATAATTGTCTCCTCCCCACAGCTTTCATTTCTTTCTCTTAACTACTTTCCTCCATGTGAACTAAGTTTTCACATCACTGCTCCGCATATATGATAACTATCTTAGTAACTGCTCATGGTCACATCCTATTGAATTAATCCCAACAGTTAACCAGACTGGATTTGGGCATTTGGGATGGTCAAACTGAAGCCATTTTTCTTTCTTTAAATTTTAAGAAATTTATTTGTCTCCAACATATGCTTTTCCAGCTTCAAGTATATCTTATATCACTAATAACTTATTATCCTGGGGCAATAAATTAATACACTGCTGTTCTTCATAGCACACATAGCTATTTATATTGGGTGAAAAAAATGGGAAGAAGTTAAGCAAATACTCAAAATTACAGGTATAGAGAGCGCTTCAGGGGAATCAGTAGAAGTACTAGGTTCCACTTGGAAAACATTTCAAGAGTCATTAGGGCCAAACCTGGTTTGGTCAAGACCTAACAGAACTCCTAATGAAGTGATTTAGAGTCATCAAGAAAGGATTCCAGAACTGCAGCACTAACTGAATACAGGAAAAGAGCATCCCAAAGAGACTATTATTCCCAGAGATACCTGATTAAAATCTGTACTTTAAACATTTTCTAAAGGAGCTAGATTTATTTATTTATCTTTAAATACTTATTTATGTATTTTGAGAGAGAGAAAGAGAGAAGGAGGGAGAGGGAGAGAGAGAATCCCAAGCAGGTATCGTGCTGTCAGTGCAGAGCCCGATGCGGGGCTCAATCTCATAAACCGTGATATCTTGACCTGAGTCAAAACCGAAAGCCAGACGCTTAATGGAATGAGCCACCCAGGTGCCCCTAAAGGAGCTACATTTACAGTAAAGAGCTGTGGGGAGCATTTTGAGATGAGCCAGGCATCCTTTAGGGAAAGCATTCTAGTGTTTTTTTTAATTTTGTTTTCAATGTTTATTTATTTTGAGAGAGAGAGAGAAAGACAGACAGACAGACAGAGACAGAGACAGAGCATGAGTGAGGTAGGGACAGAGAGAGAGGGAGACACAGAATCCGAAACAGGCTCCAGGCTCCGAGGTGTCAGCACAGAGCCTGATGCGGGCTCGAATCCATGAGCCATGAGATCATGATATGAGCCAAAGTCAGACTTTAATCGACTGAGCCACCCAGGCACCCCAAAAGCATTCTAGTTTTAAGTGGATAAGGAGCAGGGAATGAGCATGTTAGATATTGTATCAGGTACTTATATTTGCTGAGTATTATTTTCCTATTTTAGAGATGAACAAACTAAGGCATACAAAAGTTAACAATACTCCAATGTTACAAAGCCAGTTAAGTAGTAGAACAGGATATAAATCCAGTTTTGATTAACTCCACAGCCCAAGTGACTTCTACCTCCCTAAACTGAAACATAAACCCCCTCTGCATAGCTAATAGTACAAAGCCCCTTTTAAGGCTTTAAGTCAAAGCTCATTAATATCAGAGACTATATATAACACAGTTGTCTGACCTAAAAATCTTAAGCTATTTTAACTGATGTACAATATGAATGATACTGAAAACCTCTGGACTAGATCACTTTCTTTAGAGGAGCTCTGCTATCCTCGACATGCTCTCATTTCATCCGTAATATTACCTCAGCAACTACACCCTGGCAAAGTCATTCTGTTTCCTGCCTTAAATCACACGGAAGAGACTGTGTGGTACTCTATGTACACAGCTGTGTTTTAATGTCACAGAAGACTTTTTTTAACCACATGAAGTGAAGTGGCATATGTAAATCTTTTCTATGTAAATCTTTTCTTTCAATTATGTTTGCAGGGCCTAAAATTTACAAAAACATTTTTTTAATATTTATTTTTGAGAGAGAGAGAGAGAGAGAGAGAGAACGCACACGCATGGGCAGGGGAGGGTCAGAGAGAGAGGGAGACATAGAATCTGAGTTGTCAGCACAGAGCCTGACGTGGGGCTCAAATTCACGAGCCATGAGATCGTGACCTGAGCTGAAGTCGGAAGCTTAACTGACTGAGCCACCCAGGCACCCCAGGGCCTAAATTTTTTAATGATAAAAATGCCAATACCATGCTTGTAAATTTAATTCATTTTTACCTTTTTCTTGCCTGTTACTGTCCATTCTTTGAGTACTTCACTGGCGCTACCTGTAAAAGAAACCAACTACAGATTTTCTCTCCTACCACATCCATGGTCAACAAGGTAATTAGTGTCCCTGCATTTTGTAATTGCTGGAGAATTTCCAAAGTTCCTAATAGGAAAGGTTAAGGTTCAAGTCTAAGTGCTAATATGATGAGATAATCCTATCATATTTACCTTTTGGAATATCTGTCCATTTAGACCCCCCCCCCCTTCTCCATGTAATTTCCTTTGTAAGTTCTTCTAAGAAGAGAGAAACGCAGCCTGACCATTTGGAAGATTCTTTTATTTATAAAGCTTAGACAGTATACAAAGATAACTGGTTTTAGCCCAAATATGCTATCCTCTCCCCTCTAAAAGATCAAATACCATTTGGCTATGTTGCTTAAGAGAGAGCTATACACTATTCTAGACCCAAATACTAACATTATAAAGAAAACAGATGATGATAAAGAAAAACCTTACAGTATTTGGGTCTGTTTATTCTACACTGACAAATTCAGGACAATAGAAACAGGGAGACCTAATCTGACGTTGATATTTAACGAAGCAACAGCTTCAAGCAAAGTTTTTCTCAAAACAAATTATGTGGAAAGAAGTTTATAAAACACTCCTCAACTCTATAAACTGAAGCCTTGGCTAACCCCACCAATCTTCCATATGTCAGACAAGGAAACTCAAACCCTTACATTTGAATCACTTGCAGGAACCACACTAAATGGCAGAGCAGCCTGGAAGAGAATGTGGAGTCCTTGAATTTGACATCTGTTGCTGGGCTGCTGGATCACTGCTTTGTCACTAAGAGGTTCTTAAATTCTTATTCAACCCAATTCCAATCAAGTACCTTATACCACTAGCCATACTATTTGTTCTTAAAACCAACAGAGAACATTTTGAGTAAAATGATGGCATTTTCTCAGCTTGTCTTTTATTCTAAGATATCACATAGCTTATGAATGATACTTCTAGGGCTGAAAGAGGTATCTTTAAGAGATATCTTTAAAAAAAATGGCATGGTACATTATGTTATCCTGGGGTTCGCTATATCATCTATAAAACATCAGATTGCTGAAAGAATGTTAATAGAAGTTTGAAGCAACGTCTATTTGAACAAATACAAACTTATTAAAAAACGGAGTTAGGATTACCTTCCATGAACGCTTGTACTGTTTTGTCCACACAATTATCAAAGTGCTGCAAAACCAGGATGATTTCATTGTTGCTCTTATTGGGAACTATTGCACGCACTGCATTTATCTGGAAAAGATGACAGGGTTATTTAATTCTAACATCAGTTCGTCAATTGGCAACTGATGCCTATTATAGAAAATAACAGAAAAAGTGATGTTTCATGTTTAACAGTATGTATCACTCTTTAGTGACAGTGAGAGTACATACAACCATCTCACTGAAAATGATTAACAGATGAACGATAAGAGCACACAGAAAATTAATTTCAAAACTTAGAAAAGCAGAACATTTCTAGAAATAGAAGGTATGTGCCAGATTTTATTTCAAGAAAGGGTGGTTTAATTAGGTATCAGGTATTAATTTAGCATCAACATTTCCTCATCTCAGCATACTGTGGAGAAAGGTAAATAGTTTAACGAGCCACCAACAGTAACAACTTAGATTTTTCAGTAGCATTTTTCAAAAACTTTTTTTTAATAATTCAGAATTTATTTTTTTAATGTCTTTATTTATTTTTGAGACAGAGAAGAAGCGCAAGCGGGGGAGGGGCAGAGAGAGAGACAGACAGACAGACAGACAGATACAGAATCCAAAATAGGCTCCAGGCTCTGCGCTGTCAGCACAGAGTCTGACACGGGGCTCGAACTCACAAACTGCGAGATCATGACCTGAGCCAAAGTCAACATTTAACCAACTAAGCCACCCAGGCACCCCTCAAAAACATTTTTACTTCATATCATTTAATTATATAATAACACTATAAGGATAATTTATTATAAACTGTTTCAGGCATACAAAACATAATGGACATTCACTACATGATAATCAGCTTAATAAAATAAAATAGATGGCAACTGAGGCCCCCATGAAGTCCCTCATGAATCCCATCTCCCTCCTCTTCACAGAGATTTTCTGCCTTGAATTTGGTTTTATTCTGATACATGTTTTCGCACTTTTATGATGTATGTATATATCATAGGTAATATATACTATTGTTTGCTTTACATAAATATTATCATACAATACATGTGTATATGCAATTCGCTTTTTTCATATAACGTTTTTTTAGATTTTTGTGTGTGTTGATAAATGCATCTTTTATTTATTTGAACTGTTACACAGCATTTCCATTGTATGAATATAGCCAATTTATTCATTCTGTTGATGGGCACTTACATTGTTTCCAATATTTGGCTGTTATGAAAAATGCTGGAATGAATATTCCTATGCTAATTTGCTGCTGATTCTTCAGTGCCTAAAACAATGTTTATCACATTGTAAGCAATTAAAAAAAGAAAAAAAATCATATCTTCTTGGAACAATGAGAGAAGGTCTCTATTGTGTAAAACCACTAGAATTCCTGAATATCAGAGCATCTACAAATTCATGACATAATGCCAAAATGTTCTTTAAAACAGATATGCCGGGGTGTCTGGGTGACTCAGTCACTTAACCGTCCAACTCTTGGTTTCAGCTCAGGTCACGATCTCATGGTTTGTGAGTCTGAGCCCCACACTGGGCTCTGTGTGGACACTACGGAGCCTGCTTGGGATTCCCTCCCTCCCTCTCTCCCTCCTCTCTGTCTCTCTCTCTCCCTCCCTCTTCCTCTCTCTCTCTCAAAATAAACAAATAAACTAAAAAAGAAATAGATATGCCAATTTTGTCAGACTTATTCCTAAGGATTTTTTTTTAAATTCAAGTATAATTAACATACAGTGTTATATTAGTTTCAGGTATAGAACATAATGATTCGATGATTCTATACATTTCTTAATGCTTATCAAGATAAGCGTACTCTTAATCCCCTTTATCTATTTCATCCATTCTCCTCCCACCCACCTCCACTCTGGGAGATTGGAGATAAAAAATATACTATTTACAACTGCTATTCTGTTTTCCTTTTGGTATATCAATTTAATACCCAGCAATTAAATGAATTAAAAGAATTTGATGAATTATTATAATTTCTAACTTTCTTAGCTTGTGTATGTAGATAGAAAATAATAGTATGGTCTACAAATAACAACCATTTTTTTCTTTCTTTCCAATCCTTCTAATTTTCATTTCTTGTCTCACTGCAAAATGTGAAATTGGCTATTTCTCCAAGAAGACCTGGCTCTTTTTGGTAGGCAGCAGTAGTTAGAAACCAGTATCTAAGAGCTAGGTATGTTTATTGTTACTGGGGAGTCATTATTTCTAGATTTTTTTCAGTGGATAGAGTTAGGAGATTTCATTTTTTACAACTTGAATTCAAAATAATACTTTCAATTCAAACATAACATTAAAAGGCTTTTTCTTATATAATTTTAAACATATCTCTCTTCTCTGTATGCTGTTTCAGGTCCTAAAAACATTAAATTATTTACTAATTTGCTTTATTCTATAATATTGAAAAATAATATTAATAAACTACAATATAATGTTAATAATGATAAAACACACAATTTAAGATTTATTTTCAATCCTTTTGTATATTTTTAAAAGTCTGTTTATTTTTGAGAGAGAGCACAAGCAGGGGAGGGGCAGAGAAAGGAGACAGAATTCCAAGCAGGCTCTGTGCACGTGTTGTCAGTGCACAGCCCAACCCCAAGCTCAAACTAGTGAACTGTGATATCGTGACCTAAGCCAAAATCGAGTCAGATGCTTAACTCACTGAGCCACGCAGACGTCCCTCTTTGTTTTTTGAAATATCCCTCTTAAACATGCATAGTAAGAATATTGTGTTCAGAAGTCAGTGGGAAGATTTGTTCTAGTTCACCCTTTCCCTAAAGATGAAATATTTTTAGGATCTCAATTTCATGTAAGATCTTAGCTCCAATTCCTAACCTAGGACAAGCCTTGGGGCCCTGAGTGGTAAAACCCATTTGTTACTGACACTGGCAAAATGTTTCAGTTACCTAGCTCAGGCTTAACACGCTGGTTTTTAATGCCCTCTATATTTTTGGCCCCCAGGGATTTCCTTAACTTTTTTGTGTTGGGCTATGCATTTTTTAAATTTGTATTTGTTTATGTATGTATGTATGTATTTATGTTTTAATTTATTTTTGAAAGACAGAGCATGAGCAGAGTAGGGGCAGAGAGAGAGGGAGACATAGAATCTGAAGCAGGCTCCAGGCTCTGAGCTGTCAGCACAGAACCCAATGTGGGGCTCAAAACCATGAACCGCAAGATCATGACCTGAGCTGAAGTTGGATGCTTAACCAACTAAGCCACCCAGGTGCCCCTATGCTATGCATTTTTAAATCATGTATGTTACTTTTCATTCTGTATTTCTAGGTATTTTATAAGAGGAATGTTTTCAGGTTCTTCAGTCAACCATATTGCTTGAAAAGGAAGTACTTTTATATATGAAGAGAAGTAAAGTATCTTGTCTAAGTAATAAGCAGAGTCTGTATTACAACCTAAGTCTTTTTAGTACACTTGTTTTCATATCATTCTACCCTTTTTTGTTTGTTTGTTTCAGGCTTACTGAACAATGATAAGGTTTAAAACCATAGAAATGGGAAGGTATATAATGTGTAATCCAAAGAGGGCTAATTTGTAATATACATTTTTGAGATGAGCAAAATACTTAGTACTGATCACTATAAAATGAACTGTAGGCAAAACTTAGATACAATGATAAGGTAAGATTCTGATAACCTAAAATATGAAAGTGTTTATATTATTCAACCAATACAGTATATCTATGACTCTATAATCAACAATATACTTTTCTTAATAAGACAGAGAAAGCAATAAAGCTTTTATCTTATGTTTTTCTCAATAAAACTCATTAAGGGTTATATTACTAAAAACACTTGGTTTTCTTCCATAGGAATATTACTTGGAAGAGCTATTTATCTTCTTGCACTGAATTCTCCTGGAGTTAAGAATCCTCTCCAGATCAGGGGCACCTGGGTGGCTCAGTTGGTTAAGTTTCTGACTTTGGCCCAGGTCATGATCTCAACAGTTCGTGAGCTTGAGACCTGTGTACTGACAGCATGAAGATCTGGAGCCTGCTTCGGATTCTGTGTCTTCCTCCCTCTCTGCCCTTCCCCTGCTCATTCTCTCTCTCACTCACACACACACACACACACACACACACACACACACACACACACACACAAATAAACATTAAAAAAAAATTAAAAAAAAAATCCTCTCCAAATGAAAGATTCTATTCAAGTTGTTCCTTGAAGAATGTTGCCAAATGAGATACACATTTAGCCATAAGTATTATTTGTTATAATATTAACTAATATTTGTGATATTAGTTATGCAAAGAAAATCATATTTCACTTTCTAAATGAGTTTGTGTAGCCACTGATTGTATTAGTACCTAAATTTTACTGTAATATTCAAGCTTACTATCCACAGTAAGTAGTCATACCTTCTCTTTCATGTTCTCAAAAGCTCCTCCTTGGGCCAGTACAGTATTGGACTGCAAATCAAAAATGAATCCTGATGTATCTGAAAGAATAAGAAGGAAAAAATATATTCAATATGATCCAAAACTAATATGTGATCCATCCCCAAACCATACCAGCTGATTTCCTCCCATAAACAATTAACAACAACTTAGTTTTGTTATTTTGCAAATTCTGTTTTATATATATATATATATAACTTCATTTGGGTTAAAATTATAAAATCTGATTTAACTGAAACTGCCAAGAGCTTGAGAAAAACACTAAATACATCAACTATATTAGACTGTCCAGTAATCCTTGATATCTTTAACTATCCTATCTTAATTTAAAAGGCCCTTTTAAAATGTGGCAAGTAAATAGTTCCCCACGGTAAAATTTGACACTAATGAATCTGAAACTGTGAGTGAGCCTGAGAGCTTCTGTACCACTATTAATAACAATACATGAAACTAATTTCCATCTTCTAGACTGCACTACACATATCATGTTCTTAGACTACAAATCCCTGAATGTACATTCATGTTTGTATCCCCAACACAGTGCTTGATGAAGCAACGTACCTGAGTTTACACTACCAGCACAATACGGGAAAATTCAGTGCAAATTGACTGATTACAGAAAAGAGTTTGGCTTCCCTGTGCTTATAAAGAAAAGGTGATCTGCAAATTTAGTCAGTTTCTTTACCAGTGACTACGTAATCAATGAATTACCTCAGCCTTAACACTTGACAACCTGGTTTTATAATGAGATGCAATGGCAGGATATGGTTAGAATGCTTCCCAAGTTCTGATGTGGATACTCATCTGGGGAAACTTAGGTTCAAATGCAGGTTCTAGGGCGCCTGGGTGGCTCAGCTGGTTAAGCATCCGACTCTTGATTTCGACTCAGGTCACAATCTCACGGTTTGCAAGCCCCACACTGGCTCTGTGATGACAGCACGGAGTCTGCTTGACATTCTCTTTCTCCCTGTTTCTCTGCCCCTCCCCCACTCGAGTGTGTGTGCTCTCTCTCAAAGTAAATAAATTTTTAAAAATGCAGGTTCTGGGGCGCCTGGGTGGCGCAGTCGGTTAAGCGTCCGACTTCAGCCAGGTCATGATCTCGCGGTCCGTGAGTTCGAGCCCCGCGTCGGGCTCTGGGCTGATGGCTCAGAGCCTGGAGCCTGTTTCCGATTCTGTGTCTCCCTCTCTCTCTGCCCCTCGCCCGTTCATGCTCTGTCTCTCTCTGTCCCAAAAATAAATAAATGTTAAAAAAATAAAAAATAAAAAATAAAAAAAAAAAAAAAATAAAAATGCAGGTTCTGATTCACTAGTTTGGCTTGTCACCTGAGATTTATACTCTAAGGTAGTATCAACATTGCTGATCCATGCACCATACTTGGGAGTAGCTTGGGAGTTAGAATTTCAACAAAGCAAGTAAAAGGAGAAATTTTGAGAAAAGAGGCTGCTATGGTCTAAATGTTTGTATGCATCTCTCCTGCTGCTACACACTGCACCCCCCGCCCCACCAACACATAGCACTAAATTCATACGTTGAATTCCTAAAGTGTTAGTGTTATATAATGGTGTTATGGTGTTAGCAGGTGGGGCCTTTGAGAGGTGAATAGGTCACGAGAGTGGACTCTCATGATGGGATTAGTGATCTTGTAGAAGAGACCCCTCAGAGCTTTCCAGCCCCTGCCACCATAGGAGGACACAATGAGAAGTAGTCTATGACCCAGAAGAGGGCCCTCACTCAACCATGCTGGCACTCTAATCTCACACTTCCAGCTTCCCAAACCGTAAGAAGTAAATTTCTGTTGTTTATAAGCTACCCAGTCTATCACAGCAGCCCAAACAGAATTAAGATGGAGTATAAAAACTACAGTAATATTTTAGTACACTTTCCAAATTCTTTTGCTATGATTATAGATGTGTTTTAATTAAAGCCTCTTTTCAGGGATAAAAGGTAAAGCATATAGTCAATGGTACTGTAATAGCATTGCATGGTGACAGATGGCAGCCACACTTGTGGTGAGCACAGCATCATATATAGACTTGTCAAATCGCTATGCTGTACACCTGAAACTAATGTAACAAACACTGTGTGTCAGATATACTTCAAATAAAAAAATGAATAAACTCTTTTACAGCTTAATCCTGGTTTTCAAATACTTCCTAATTCCTATGGAAGACTGGTAATTCATAAGGTAGAATGATAACAGCATTTTGGTACCAGAAGTAGAAAAGAGGATATGAATAGAGTCAATGTCATTCCAAGAAAAACTATGCTTGCCAATTACCAATAAAACCATGAATTAATTTAGATTTAACTTCTGTAATACTGGCAGTTTTGAAACTATTACTTAAGTTAAAAATTAGGTTGCACTTACCACAAACTCAGTGTTTAAGCCTGAGTTTTCTAGATGACTATATAATATGGTTAATTCTCAATTATCTTTATTAACTGAAAAGAAACACAGTATATAAAGATGAAAATCCTATACGGTCAAAATACTATCCCAGCAACTTACTCAACTGCTATAGGTTAGTCAAATGATTTAACTTGGAGGTTATAAATACTCTCCTCCAAAGACATATTAATAAGCAATGAGATGATACAAAGGACATCGATACTCTTATTAAAGAATCACACCATCAGGGCGCCTGGGTGGCGCAGTCGGTTAAGCGTCCGGCTTCAGCCAGGTCACGATCTCGCGGTCTGTGAGTTCGAGCCCCACGTCAGGCTCTGGGCTGATGGCTCGGAGCCTGGAGCCTGTTTCCGATTCTGTGTCTCCCTCTCTCTCTGCCCCTCCCCTGTTCATGCTCTGTCTCTCTCTGTCCCCCAAAAAATAAATAAAAACGTTGAAAAAAAAATTAAAAAAAAAAAAGAATCACACCATCAACTTCTTTTAAGAAAATGAGGGTAGAGTGAATGAAAAACAGCATTTTGGGGCCTATATTTAAATGAACTATTAGTATTACTAACTTCTTATACATTATCTAACACTTTATTTTTTCCTTTTTTTTTTAACGATTATTTATTTATTCTAAGAAAGAGAATGTGCTCTCGGGTGTGAGGGAGGGGCAGAGAGAGAGAGGGAGAGAAAATCCCAAGAAGTCTCCATGCTCAGAATGAAGCCCAACGCAGGCTTGATCAAGATCAGGATCTGAGTTGATATCAAGAGTCAGACACTTAACCAAACCGACTGGGCCACCCAGGTGCAAAAGAGGGATTTTTTTCCTTTAACAACACATTAGATGAGACAAAGTACCAGGCAAATAAAGATTATTTCTGTAAACACCTTCAGCTATTGCCCCTCCCCACCAATTAGCATAAGTATTATTAGGGTTTGTCTGGCATACATACCAGTTAGGATAATGATTAAAAATACATAAAGCAGCCAGGATCCCAAGAGGAAACAAATGGCACACTCAAATTGGGGAATCTGAGGAGAGTTTAATAAAGGGACTGTTTTCAAAGGTGTCAGTAAGGAGTGGGGAAACCAAAAGATACAGTGCAGTACCCTTGGCTAATAACAATAATCTACACTGTTACTCTGAGGTTTTAAAGAGGTTTAAGGAGGGGCGCCTGGGTGGCTCAGTCGGTTGAGCGACCGACTTCGGCTCAGGTCATGATCTCGAGGTCTGTGAGTTCAAGCCCCGCATCAGGCTCTGTGCTGACAGCTCAGAGCCTGGAGCCTGCTTCTGATTCTGTGTCTCCCTCTCTCTATGCCCCTCTCCCACTCATGCTCTCTCTCTGTCTCAGAAATAAACATTAAAAAATAAATAAATAAAGAGGTGTAAGGAGAAAGCAATTACTGGAAGCCAGAGACACAAGGCTCTTTCATCTTTGTTTCATCTGGTATGGAGAGGGCCAGAGGACTATAGCCAAGATCTTTGGTCAAAAGACAAGGTAAGCCCATAGTAACCCCCTCAGGAAAAGATTGGGAAATAAATACCACTACCTCACTGATCTCCCTGCCTCTGATCGCCCGCGTGTGTTGCCTACTGATCTAACCCAACTAGAAGCCGGAGGGCAAGAGAGCTGTTGCGGTAGTGCACCATACAGGGCAGTCTCCCAAGTTATAAATGCCAAGTTCATATTTACATTCTAAATCATAAGTTCACCAAAACTAAAAAGCAATAATTTAACATCTTAACTTGCCTACTCATCAGCTAATATTGCCTCTTTTAACAACCAACAACTCAAGTACACTCAAAACCCTGCCTCCATGAACTGGAGCTTAAGTGCCCCTCAGCATTATAGATAAAGTCATTTTTAGTTCCCATCAACAATATTTAACAATTCTCTTATTTTTTCATGCAAAGAAAGCTTAAGATTTACTTAATTCCACCGGTAGGAAATCAGTCAGGATCTCATCCTTTGCTATCTATTCTTTGATAGCAAAGTGTGTATGTATACTCTGCAAGAAATAAATTTTTAAAGAAAATGCACAAGACTCGTAAGTCTCACATAAGACTCATAAAGGATACAAGGAATTCTTAAGACTAAGCTTTCTTACCATTTATTTCACTCTATCAGGGACCACCTTTGAAGTTTCTTGGAATTATTTCAAATAGCATATATTTAGGAACATTTTGGATAAAGTATGTTATTTACAGGGTCACTGACATATTTGTAAATAATGCAGGCTTTGCTATTATTGTTTTTGCTGGCTTCAAAAATCAGGCAAAAGTCATTTTAAGCACTGAGGATTACACAGAAATATCTGAGTCTGATTATACCATGCATCATACCAAACTTGAACAAGTTTTCTTAAATTGAGGTATAATTGACATATATATAAAACACTATATTAGTTTCAGGTGTACAATGTAATGGGTTGCTATTTATATATATTTTGAAATGATCACCACAATAAATCTAGTTAACATTTGTCACCATACATACCTACAAAATATTTGTGACAAGAACTCTTATGATTAACTCTCTTAGCAACCTACAAATATGCAAGACTATTAACTAGAGTTACCATGCTGTACATTATATCCCTAGGATTTTTTTATAATTGGATGTCTGTACTTTTTGACCCCCTTTACC